TTAGATATGATGATTCAGTCTGAAATTAATAATAGTAATTATATTGCATATTTTATAGAACTTTACTAACTATAAATTATTTTCCCTAACCTAATTTTAATTAATTTATTCTAGGTGCTTAAATCTTGCCAAAATATTAAAGCTAATTATATATGCATGGAATTTCTGTTCATATACATTTAAACATGTTTACAAAGAGATATCATACCATCCTCATTACAGAGTCAGGAAAAATTTAAATAACACTGCAAACATATAATCATGTTACTAGAATACACATCTTTTTCAAAAACACATTTTAAAAGCCATTAATCAGGTTTTTATGTTTCTTGTGTCTCTTAGAGCATAATACAGTAAAATATACCATACCATTCTTTGAAATTATGTATTACCATATTTGAATAGATCCAATAGATCATGCTCAGAAGCTTACATTATTTTAGTAGAGTACAGGATCTGAAATATAATTATTATTTGATTAATGAAATGATGGTAATAGCTCTATGTATTATTAAGCAGAGAAAGTTAATATAAAGAATATTTTAAAACTGTAGAAACAGTGAAATAAATATTCCCCATCTGTAAATTAATGGTTTTAATTGAATATTTACAGGGCTTCCTGTATGCTACAAACCACAATAACTGCTTATGATTCAGTGACATATACCACTAGCATGCATGTTTTTTCATGGACTCTTCTTTGCATGTCTCACAATTAAACATTCTAAAAATATAAACTAGAAATTAGAAGCATAAAAGAATGGACAATAGGATCTCCTGGAGTTTATATCAATGTGTATTAGATGTGACATAAGCCATGGGTTCTCAAATATAGATACATCCAAATTTTAGGAGTCAAAGTGGAACAACTAAACTAAGAGTCCTTTAGCATGTCTCAACTTATTTGAAGAGAACTTTCACCTTACACCCATCAGAATGGGTAGAATCAAAAGCTCAAGTGAGAACACGTGCTGTAGAGAATGTAGAGAAAAGGGAACTCTCTTCCATTGCTGGTGAGAATATAAATTTATGGAACCACTTTGGAAATCAATCTGGCACTTTCTCAGACAATTAGGAATAGCACTTTTTCAAGATCCAGCTATATCATTCCAAAGCATATATCCAAAATATGCTCAAGTACACAAGGGACAATTGCTCAAACATGTTTGCAGCAGCTTTATTCGTAATACCTAAAATCTGGAAACAAACCAGATGTCCCTCAACTGGGGAATCAATACAGAAATTGTGGTACATTTACACAATGGAACACCATTCAGTAATTAAAAAGAAGGAAATCATGAAATTTGCAGGCAAGTGGTGGGAAGTAGAAAGGATCATCTTGAGTGAGTTATCAAGAAGCAGCAGAGAACTCTTTGAATTAGGACACACACACACACACACACACTCACACACACACACACAACTATTTAAAGTAGGTAACTTTCAAACTCTTCTGTTAAGAGTTGCCTTGTTAGAGTATCAGTCTCAGAAAAGACTCCCTTGCCCAGATTATTATTATTATTATTATTATTATTATTATTATTATTATTAGTGCTGTTGCTCTCCTTGTGGAGCTCCTGTCTCCTCTAGGTCTTTCTATCTCCCCCTTCTTTCATAAGATTCGCTGCACTCTGCGCAATGTTTTATTATGAGCCTCAGCATCTGCTTTGATACACTGCTGGGTAAAGTCAGAGGCCCTCTGTGGTAGGCTCCTTTCTTGTTTCCTGTTTTCTACCTCTTCCGATTTCCATCCAGTTTGCCTTTCTGAATGAAGATTGTTCATACTCCAACCAAGGACCATGCATGGAGATAACCTAGAACCCCTGCACAGATGTAACCCATGGTAGATCTGTCTCCAAGTGGCTTCCCTAGTAAGGGGAACAGGGTATGTCTCCTACATGAACTCAGTGGCTAGCTCTTTGATCACCTCCCTCTGATGGGATAGCAGCCTTACCAGGCCACAGAGGAAGACAATGCATCCAGTCCCAATGAGACCTGATAAACTAGGGTCAGATGGAAGGGGAGAAGGGCCTCCCCAGTCAGTGGACTTGGAGAGGGGCATGGGAGGAGATGAAGGAGAGAATGTGGATTTGGGAGGGAATGAGGGTAGGGGCTACAGCCTGCATACAAAGTGTAATTAATATAAAAAATAATATAAAAAGAAAAATAAGAAAATAACAAACAAATAAACAAACTAAAAATATGTCTGTTATATACAATTTGAAAAGTTATCAGGAAGCATACTTCAGCTGACAGTGTGAGAAGTGATTATGAGCATGGACAGAGCACTGAAACTCAGGCACAAAGTACAAAGAGTAAGCATTTAAATAGGAAGCTTGAGATCTGACAAAACAAGATACAATTAAACATTTAGAATATTTAGGTTTGATGACTATTATTTAACAAAGTAATTTATTCTTTGTTACATTAAATTTTTAATTAAATTCTTTGTAGTCATTTATTTATGACTACATACCTTGATAAATATCTTTCATTGATCTTGGGTTCCTATAGGATATTTGAAATTAATAGTATTTTCCTTCTTCTGAACCCTTAAAAGATCTGAAAAAAAATAAGGCAAGGGCAAATGGGCAATGACACTGAATTAATGAAATAAGTTATGACCCAGAATTGAATTGAAACTGTAGGAAAATTTTAGAGATTGAAACATTAAATAGGAAAAACAAATTTTCTTGATAGAATGATACACAATACTTATGTCTAATGGAAGAAAACACTAGCACAGTTTGTGTAAAATGAGCTTCATAATAGTACTGCTGTATAAAGTTGCTAGAGCTTGTCCTCTTTGAAAGGCAGAGTTTGACTTATATTGATGGAATACTATTGGGAAGTTGATAGAATGCAGTTTAATGTCTATGTGTTTGAGAACAAGAAGTCATTTTTGGAAATGTCTATTTGAATGAACCTCATACGTTTTTAATGCTCTGTGTATTAAACATAGTATTTTGCAGTAATAATTGAAAATCTTTTTATTTTTCCTTATAAAATGCATTTATATTAAAAGAAAATAACAGCATTTTAGACAAGGTTTAAAAATATGTAAAATATGGGGCCTGTGAGATGGTTCAATGGATGGATAAGTGTACTTACCAAAGGAGCTCAGTTCAGTCTCCAGGAGACTCATGGTAAAAGGAGAAAAGTAACACTCACTAGTTGTCCTCTGACCTCCTCAGACATACTGTGACATGCAACACTGAGACAGAAACAAATAAATAAATGTAATAAAATAAAATATATAGTAACTAGAGAATAATTTTATTCTAATATTTATGCTTCATAGTTCTCCAAATTGTGGCAACCTCTACATGATGATTTTATTATGAAGGCATGAGATGAAAAAAAAACAGATATACACGTTTGTATTTTATTCCTACAACTGCAATTTATTTTTATCTACACTCCTTTTAACTCTTTAATGAGCTCAGAACTGTGTACATACAATAGAGATTTCTTACCACACAACTCTATCCACAGCTTCTAAAACTCAATTTTTTGAGCTTTTTGCACTAGATCTAAGAATGTGTGACTTCAACAGTTTTAATTAATGCTTTAAGTTTTGATTCAACTAGAATATATGGGCAACACAAAGTGGACTTGATGGTTTTAAACCAAAGAGGACACAAAGTTGGGTGGATATGGAAGGAGGAAGAGATGGGAGAGGGGTGAATATGACACATTGTACAAATTCTCAATGGACCAATAAAATGTGTAAAGAAATACGTCATCTCGGTAGAATCTTTCACAGGCCTTCTGTGGTGGGTTCCTGTCCTGTTCCCTGTTTTCTCCCTCTCTGATGTCTATCCTGTTTGTGTTTCTGAATGAGGATTGAGCATCTCAGGAACCCTGAAAGACTCTATGCAGCAGGGTATTGGAGCAGATGCTGTGACTCATAGCCAAACTTTGGGCAGAGTGCAGGGAATCTGATGAAAGAAGGATGAGATCTGAGAAAGACCTAGAGGAGTCAGGAGCTCCACAAGGAGAGCAACAAAACCAAAAACTCTTGCCTATGTTTTTTCTGAGACTAATAGTCCAAACTACGACCATGCATGGAGAAAACCTAGAACCCCTGCACAGATGTAGCCCATAGGAGCTTAGTCTCCAAGTGGGTTGTGGCTGTCTCTGATATGAACTCAGTGGCTAGCCCTTTGATCTCCTCCCCCTGAGGAGGAAGAGGCAGTCTTACCAGCCTACATAGGAAGAAAATGCAGCCAGCTGTGATGAGACATGATAGGGTAAGGTCAGATAAAACGGTTGGAAGACTTCACCTTGGGGATTTGGGGAGGGAAATGGGAGGAGTAAAAGGGGGAAGGGGGGGCTGGAGGGAAAGAGAGAGGGGCTGCAACTTGCATAAAAAGTGAATAAATTTTAATAATTAAAAATAAATAAATGAAAAGGAAAAAATAAAGAAATGTGTGATCTGACAAAAAGACAACCGATATGGAAATTTTTCCTTCTGTAGTCACTCTAAAAGAGGCAGAACAAAAATGGAATACTAGGAATGAGTTTCCTTTGTTCCTGATGTGTTTCTAGCAGCTGTGGAAATGCTAGTGCATTCTATGTTTTGTTCTATAACTCACAAATCTGTACCCATCTCCTCTGGTATGTCAAGTAGAGATTTATACTGTACAATTTTGTACAGTCTGAATTCTGTGACTCACTCTCTTATACCTTAGTAGGATATATTGGTACCAGTTTTAAAGGCAGGAAATAATTTAGGATTCTTCAGAACAGGTGGCTTGCATTGCAAATTACTGGATTATAAATAAAAGCTAAACTGGAAATTGATCTTTGGTGGCTTTGGTATTAGCCAAAACTACATTGTAAAATTTATTGTAAACTGTTAGATTTTCTTGTTAACCCATGACAGCACATAATCTCTAATGTAAAGTTCGATTTATTCTTGACAATTACATAATATCCAAAAAGCAAATGTATCAAGTAATAGTATTTGAGCTTTATCTTTGTTTGTTTTCCAACAGTTCAAGGCCTGGCAGACCCCTTAAGCGTTCTTTGGGAGTGTTGCAAGATAATGCCAGCCTTCTACCCCAGGCAGTCCCAGGTATTTTATCACCAGGACTTATCACTCCAACAGGTAACACAATCCCTCTGTTGATCAGCTTTGTCTCTTTATACTGCCCACGGTTTGAAAAAAACAAAAAACAAAAACTAATATTGATGTAAGTGTGTTGCCCTTCAGAACTTTTCAAGCTCTACTAGAAGTTAAATTATTGAACACTTTTGGAGTATTCAGGCAAACAAGATTTTTATTTGCACTTAAATGACTCAAATTAAATGGGTATGACTTTATAATTGTATCCATATAAGAAACCTCTTTCTATGTGTATATTGCATGCTGGGAGCAAAGACATGGAATGAACAAATTAGCATCATCTGAAATCTTCCCATGAGGTGCTTACCTAATATACCTCACCAATACTTGTTTTGTCTGTTGTCTGTTGTATATTGTTAAAGTTACTATACCATGGTATGAAGGTGGAAAAAAAGTGCATCCTCTGAAGAACAACAGTATGTCAGTAAGTAAACTTGTAGGTAATTGTGATGAATAATTTTTTGGAATAGTGAAGTAAATTAGTAATAACAATTTCATAAATTATCATAGAACTCACACTTAAAAAATTATCCTAATAGTTCCCCAGTAGAAACTTATACCTTTAAAATTATTATATCAAGGAAAAATTAAAGAAAAATTATTATTTTTTTTCTTTTTTAAACACTTATTTATTTAATAACCAATCTTTTTAAATTTTTTATTTAACTTATATTAATTATATTTTATTCATTTTGTATCCCCCCCATAAGCCCCTCCCTCCTCCCCTCCAGATCGCACCCTCCCTCCCCTTTCTGCATGCATGCTCCTCCCCAAGTCCACTGATAGGGGAGGTCCTCTTTTCCTTCTTTCTGATCTTAGTATATCAGTTCTCATCAGAAGTGGCTGCATTGTCATCTTCTGCGGCCTAGTAAGGCTGCTCCCCCCTCAGGGGGAGGTGATCAAAGAGCAGGCCAATCAGATTATATAAGAAGCAGTCCCTCTTCCCATTATTATGTAACCCACTTGGACACTGAACTGCCATGGGCTACATCTGTGCAGGGGTTCTAGGTTATCTCCAGGAATGGTCCTTGGTTGGAGTATCAGTCTCAGGAAGGACCTCTGTGTTCAAAATTTTTGGTTCTGTTGCTCTCCTTATGGAGCTCCTGTCCTCTCCAGCTCTTGCTATTTCCCACTTCTTACATAAAATTCCATTCACTCTGCCCTACAGTTGGCCATCAGGCTCAGCATCTGCTTTGATAGTCTGTAGGGCAGAGGCTTTCAGAGGCCCTCTGTGGCAGGTTCCTAGGTTGTTTCTAATTTTCTTCTTCTAGCTTTCAGAGGCCCTCTGTAGCAGGTTCAGAGGTTGATTCCTGTTTTCTTCTTCTGATGTCCATCCTCTTTGCCTTTCAGGATGGGGATTGAGCATTTTAGTTAGAGTCCTCTCTTTTGCTTAGTTTGTTTAGATGTACAGATTATAGTGGGTTTATCCTATGTTGTATATTTATATGAGCGAGTATATACCGTGTGTGTCTTTTTGCTTCTGGGACAACTCACTCAGGATGATCCTTACCAAGTCCCACCATTTACCTGCAAATTTCATGATTTCCTTATTTTTCATTGCTGATTAATACTCCATTGTACAGATGTACCACAATTTCTGCATCCATTCTTCAGTTGAGGGGCATCTGGGCTCTTTCCAGCTTCTGGCTATTACAAATAAAGCTGCTACAAACATGGTTGAGCAAATGTCCTTTTTGTGTACTTGCGCCTCTTTTGGGTATATGCCTAGGAGTGGCTGGATCTTGAGGAAGCGCTATTCCTAGTTGTCTGAGAAAGCGCCAGATTGATTTCCAGAGTGGTTGTTCAAGTTTACATTTACACCAGCAGTCGAGAAGGGTTCCCCTTTCTCCACAACCTCTCCAGCATGTGTTGTCACTTGAGTTTTTGATCCTGGCCATTCTGATGGGTATAAGGTGAAATCTCAGGGTTGTTTTGATGTGCATTTCCCTAATAACTAATGAGGTCGAGCATTTTTAAAAATGCTTCTCTGCCATTCGATATTCCTCTACAGAGAGTTCTCTGTTTAGCTCTGTTCTCCATTTTTTTAAGTGGATTACTTGGTTTGCTGCTTTTCAGCTTCTTTAGTTCTTTATATATACTGGATATGAGTCCTCTGTCAGATAAAGGGTTGGTGAAGATTCTTTCCCAATCTGTAGGCAGTAGCTTTGTTTTCATGACGGTGTCCTTTGCTTTAAAGACGCTTTTCAGTTTCATGAGGTCCCATTTATTGATTGTTGCTCTTAGAGCCTGTGTTGTTGGTGTTCTGTTCAGGAAGTTTTCTCCTGTACCAATGAGTTCTAGGGTATTCCCCAATTTTTTTTCTAGCCGATTTAATGTGTCTGGTTTTATGTTGAGGTCTTTGATCCACTTGGACTTCATTTTTGTGCAGGGTGATAAGGATGGATCTATTTTCATTTTTCTACATGTGGATATCCAATTGGACCAGCACCGTTTGTTGAAGATGCTATCTTTTTTCCATTGTATGGTTTTGGCATCTTTGTCAAAAATCAGGTATCTGTAAGTGTGTGGGTTTATTTCTGGGTCTTCTGTTCGATTCCATTGATCCACCATTCTGTTTCTATGCCAGTACCATGCAGTTTTTATAAATGTTGCTCTATAGTACAGCTTAAGATCAGGGATGGAGATACCTCCAGAAAATCTTTTATTGTAGAGGATTGTTTTAGCAATTCTGGGTTTCTTGTTATTCCATACGAAGTTGAGAATTTTTCTTTCCAAGTCTGTAAAGAATAGTGTTGGCAATTTGATGGGAATTGCATTAAATCTGTAGATTGCTTTTGGTAAGATGGCCATTTTTACTATGTTAATCCTGCCAAGCCATGAGCATGGGAGATCTTTCTATCTTCTCATATCTTCTTCTAATTCTTTCTTCAGAGACTTGAAATTTTTTTCATACAAGTCTTTGACTTGCTTGGTTAGGGTTACACCAAGGTACTTTATGTCATTTGTGGCTATTGAGAAGGGTGTTGTTTCCCTAAATTCTTTCTCGGCCCTTTTGTCTTTTGTATACAGGAGGGCTACTGATTTTTTTGAGTTAATTTTGTATCTGGCCACTTTGCTTAAGGTATCAGCTGTAGGAGCACCCTGGTGGACTTTTTTTGGTCACTCATGTATACTATCATATCATCTGCAAATAGTGATAATTTGACTTCACCCTTTCCCATCTGTATCCCCTTGATCTCCTTCAACTGTCTTATTGCTTTAGCAAGGACTTCCAGCACTATGTTGAAGAGCTATGGAGAGAGTGGGCAGCCTTGTCTTGTCCCTGATTTCAGTGGGATTGCTTTAAGTTTCTCTCCGTTCACTTTGACGTTGGCTATAGGCTTGCTGTATATTGCCTTTACTATGTTCTAGTATGTGTCTTGTATCCTTTATCTCTCCAATACTTTAAATATGAATGGATGTTGGATTTTTGTCACATGCTTTTTCAACATCTAAGGAGATGATCATGTGTTGTTTTTTTTCCAGTTTGTTTATATGGTGGATCACATTGATAGATTTCCATATTTCATTGAAACCCCCCCCCCTGCATACCTGGAATGAAGCCTACTTGGTCATAGTGTATAATATCTTTGATGTGTTCTTGTATTTCGTTTGCAAGTATTTTGTTAAGTATTTTTTCATCAATGTTCATAAGGGAGATTGGCCTCAAATTCTCTTTCTTTGTTGAGTCTTTGTGAGGTTTAGGTACCGAGGTGACTGTGGCTTCATAGAATGAATTTCGTAATGTTCCTTTTGTTTTTATTTTGTGGAATAGTTTGAAGAGAATTGGTGTTAGCTCTTCTTTGAAGGTCTGGTAGAATTCTGCACTGAAGCCATCTGGTCCTGTGCTTTTTTAGGATGGGAGACTTTTGATGACTGCTTTTATTTCTTTAGGGGATATAGGACTATTTAGTTGATTTACCTGGTCCTGATTTAGCTTTGGTAAGTCAAATTGATCAAGAAAATCGTCCATTTCATTTAGATTTTCAAATTTCATGGCATAGACTTTTGAAGTAAGTGCTAATGATTGTTTGGATTTCCTCAGTGTCTGTAGTTGTGTTCCCCTTTTCATTTCTGATTTTGTTGATTTGTGTGGTGTCTCTCTGCCTTTTAGTTAGCTTGGCTAAGGGTTTGTCGATCTAGTTGGTTTTCTCAAAGAACCAGCTCTTGGTTTCATTGATTCTTTGAATTGTTTTATTTGTTTCTAATTGATTGATTTCAGCCCTGAGTTTGATTATTTCCAGCCTTCTACTCCTTTTTGGTGTGTCTGCTTGTTCTTTTTCTAGGGTTTTTAAGTGAGCCATTAAGTTGCTTGAATGCGCTGTCTCGAATTTCTTCTTGAAGGCACTTAGTGCTATGAACTTTCCTCTTAGCACTGCTTTCATTGTGTCCCACAATTTTGGGTATGTTGTGTCTTCATTTTCATTGAGTTCTAGGAAGACTTTAATTTCTTTCCTTATTTCTTCCCTGACCCAGCTGTCATTTAGTAACAAGTTGTTCAGTTTCCATGTGTGTAGACTTTTTGCTATTTCTGTTATTGTTGAGGTACATCTTTATTCCATGGTGATCAGACAAGGTACAAGGGATTATTTCAATCTTCTTGTATCTGTTGAGGCTTGCTTTGTGACCAACTATATGGTCTATTTTGGAGAAGGTTCCATGAGGTGCTGAGAAGAAGGTTAATTCTTTTGTGTTTGGGTGTAATTATCTGTAAATGTCTGTTAGTTCCATTTGATTCATGACCTCTGTTAGAGACAGTGTTTCTTTGTTTAATTTCTGTTTTGTTGACCTGTCCTTTGTTGAGAGTGGGGTGTTGAAGTCTCCCACTATTAATGTGTGGGGATCTATATGTGGTTTAAATTTTATCAATGTTTCTTTAACAAATGTGGGTGCTCTTGTATTTGGGGCATAGATGTTCAGGATTTTGATGTCTTCCTGGTGGAATTTTCCCTTGATGAGTATGAAGTGTCCTTCCTCACCTC